CTTAGTAGCTGCCCAACATTGAGCAGCATCTGGTTTTCGAATGGCACTTGATTTTCTTTTAAAAATTCATACAAAAAACGTAGGCTAAAGACCCAGACCATAAACACGCCCAGCAGTAAACCGGGCGGTGTTTGCTGCTTATCGCGATACCAAAGCCACAACAAAATACCAGACAACAGCAGACAGCTTAGAGCTTCATACAACTGGGCTGGATGGCGCGGCACGGCCGAATACTCGGTGTTGTTAACGAAGATAAATCCCCAGGGTAGCCTCGTCGGACGGCCAATAATTTCGAAATTCATCAAATTGCCCAGTCGAATAAAGAAGCCGCTTAGGGCCACAACAATGGCTATGCGGTCAGCTACCCACAAAAAGGATTGTCCCTGCCGGGAACGGACGTAAAAAAACAAACTTAGGATAATACCAATAGCCGCCCCGTGGCTGGCTAACCCCCGGTAGGGTGGTAAGAGCACGTCCAGTGGATGTTGCCAAAGCATCGCTGGTTCATAAAATAGAAAATGCCCCAGACGGGCACCAGCCAGCGTTCCAATAACGATATATAACAGCAGCGAATCCACATCCCGCACGGGCCTGCCCTCCTGGCGAAAGATGTAGGTAATAACCTGGATGCCAAAAATAAAACTCAGGGCAAAACAAAGTCCATACCAGGTAATAGCAAAGGGTCCAACTCGCAACAGTTCAGCTGTAGCCGTCCAGGTAATGGCCGTCAGCTGGGAGCCAATGAGTGAGCAAGTAAGCATTGATTAAGTTTAATCATGTAGTTGTAAACCCAAGCTATGTCAACGGATAGTCATTGGTGTAGATCATGACGCAGGTCAGCTAAACGATCGGCAATTCTTACGTTTGACTCGGCTCTTTTCGTAGAAAAAACTCCTGTCGGGGGAGTGGTTCAATTAATGTCGCGCGACAATAGGTTCGGTCACTGTTTTAATCTCGGTATTATCACGAATATCATCCGATCCTTTCAGCAGGACCACATCAGTGGGTTTAAGGTCACCAATCACTTCAATCTGATCGTTTGCCTCATTACCCGTTTGTACCGTTACCCAATGCGTTTTCCCCTTTACCACCGTTATGACGTAGCTGCCTTCCATGGAGACGACCACCGCCGATTTGGGAACGTATACACTTTTACTTTGCCGCTGCACGGGAAAGCCCACGGTAGCGTACATGCCCGGCATGAGTTGCAGACGGGGGTTGTTCACCTCGATCTCGATCAGTTCCGCCCGCACACTCCGTTCGACATTGTAGGAAATTCGGTTAATCTTACCCGTAAACACCTTACCCGGAAACGCATTGACCGAATAGGTTACCGGGGTATTCTGCCGAATTTGGCCCGCGTACACCTCCGGC